ATCTCAACTTAAATGCCTCCTCTTTGGAAAAGCCTCTCTGGACCCACCCTGCTAAATTACCACCCTCATTCATCAGGCATTCTCATATCTTGCTTTATTTTCTTCATACACTTCTGATAATCTAAAATTAACTTGTTAATTTGTTTTTTCTTGGCCATCTTTGCCTGCTCAAATGCAAGGACAAGGACAGCAGAAGCCTCGTCTTTTGTTCACTGCTTTACCCCCAGCACCTTTCAGAGCCTGGTTCAGTAAGTACCCAATAAATATGAGATCGACAAACAAATGAATATAGAAGACTTGGACACTTCAGATTTGAGCTTGACTCCTAGAGCATAGTTGGTAGGGGAAGTCCAGAAAGGATCTTTACCCCTGCAGAAGTTCAATGACTCTAAAAGTCAGAACCTTATTTTTAATGATAATGATAAAGAAAACAATATATAAGTAATGATAATGATATCCACTGATTTGGTTGTTTTCTAGGCTGTCTTGACCTGCAGGAAGGATTATGGGCCTCACACTTTCCCAGGCCACCCTGTACTGACCAGGCAGATGAGGACTGGCCTTTCTGGTAACATCCTCTAGGATTCCCTCTTGCTGACTTGTTTGGGCTGGTGAGCTCAAATTCGAGTGCTCAAAAATTAGGCATTGAAGTGGGTGTAGGGGTGGGGGAGATACAGCCCGGAGTCTGAACCTTTCTCTGTTCTCAGAAGACAGAGAGGCCTGGGATTTCCCATGCCAAGTCCAGCCTCACATTTACCCTTGGAAATAGTTTTTGTTCCATTATGTAATAACCTCAAGCATTTACCAACCCAGCAAGGAGTCCATTTCACCAGGACCTTTGTTCCAAAGAAAGGGGCCAGAGAAAGGAATGGGCAGGACATACGACTATCAAATATGTGAAATAAATCAAACTGGAGCATTTTCTCCAATGACCACAGATCCTTGAGGAGCTCTCTGTTCTCATTTTACCCCAACTGGCTTCTGTCGCCATCAAAATTCTTTAATAGGTCTAAAGATTTGTTCCTGGTCTGGGTTTCTGTTAATTTCTCTGTGGCTGGAAAAAAATGGAAAAATACCAGGATGTTTCAAAGAGATCAGAAAGCAGCCAGAGCTGTTCAAGACTGCACGTACCATCTGACCCAGCCAATCACAGAGTCTAGAAACCAACAGGGAGCCAGCAGAGGAGAAACCCGGGCCAAATACACAGCATCCTGTTTAAGCCTCTAGCATACATCATGGTTATTTGCTGCTGACTAAGTGCCTGCCCTGTGCTGGACTGACAAAGGAGCCTCTCCATGCAGTGGGCTGCAGAGGGTCTGTGCTAGCCCTGCAAGGACACTAGAGTGGTGCAAATCCCCCACCATGCTATGCGATCAGGAACAAAGCACCCTCCTGAAGTGGGCCTCATTGTGGATGATGGGCAAAAAAAATAGCCCCTCAAAGATGTCCATGATTTGGTCCTTGGAACCTTATGAAAAAGGAAGCGTGACTCAGAGGGTGGAGCCAAGAAAACAGAGCCAAAAGGGGCTCTGCAGATGTGATTAAGGTTAGGGCTTTGAGATAGGGAGATTATCCAGGTGGGCCCAGCCTAACCACATGGGTCCTCAAGAGTAAAGAGGAAGGCAGCAGAGTCAGACAGATAAGATCTGAGAGGGACTCAACTCTCCATGCTCACTGTGAGGACGGAGGAGGTGGGCTGTGAGCCGAGGCAGGCAGCGGCCTGCGGGAGGAGGGAACGGCCCAGGTTTACAGCCAGCAAGGGAATGGTGACCTTGGCCCTACAACCACAGACCTGAATTCTGCCAACAACTTAGATAAGATAGGCGGGGAACCAATTCTCCCCTAAAGACTCCAGAAAGAAACACAGTCTAATGATGTCTTAGGCTTGATTTTATTCTGGGGAGACCCATACCGGACTTCTGACCAATAGAAATGTAATATAATAAATTTGATTTTCAAAGCCATTAAATTTTTGGTAATTTGTGATGGCTTTAGAAAATGAATACTGATCCTGAGTAAATCCCTCTTTCAAACTAGGCCTGTTTCCTGTCACTCACTTGGAAAGGATGGACAAGGTGAACTCTAAGAGTCTGGATGACTCTCACAATCTGACTCTGCTCTCTTGACATCCTGCCTGCCCTAGAGCCCTGCCCCAGGTCCAGGACAGTCTTGTGTTAAAGACCATTAAAGAAAAAATTGAAAGGAGGGGAAGAGAAGAATAATCTTTAAAGAGCTCCAAGGTGTTCCCTAAGATGCCTCCCAGAACACTCAGAAGGAAAGGTCTCCTGCTTGCCATTCATCACTCCCTTGACCATATCCCTGAGCAGCGGGGTAGTAAGTCTGGGAGAGCAAGGAAAAGCTTCACAGTAGGCGGGCAGGCATCCTCCAGAGCACTGAGTCAGGAAGGGTTTTCCTGCCTTGTGGAGGTAAGCTGCAGTCCTGATTATCAATGTCAGCCTAGGGCAGGGCATTAGGAGTAGTGATATGTGCCAGATACATGTCATCGCTAATTGAAACTGATTTGGGACACCCAGTTTAGTTTTCCCTGTCTTCCCCTCTCCTTCCATTTCATTTCCCTGGTGCTATGCAGTGGGTTACCAGCAATTCACATGTCCTGTCGACCAATCAAGAGTCCAAATTAGTAAAATAAAGAAGTTGTACACAACTAACACAGCTAAGCAATTAAAAGTACACAGCTCGTCACTGAATCTGGTTGGCTGCTGTCTAAAGTACCAGGCAGTTATAATTCTGACCTGTTCCCCTTCCTGGCTACCTGACTCTTAGCCTTTACTTCTGGATGTACCCTGTTTTCACTTGAGGTTCACTGTCCGTGTCTGCTTCCCTAGTGAGTTGGAAGAGTACGAGGGTCCCTAGAGATTCACAGTCCAGTGCTGTCAAATTCTCACTTAACTTCCCCTAGGTCACCTACAAGTAAGTGACAGAGGCAAGACCTAAAACCAGTTACTCCCAGTTCCAATGAGGTTCAGACCGAGGGCCCTGGGCCCAAACTGCCTGCATCAAATTGCAGCTCTGCCACTTATTTCCTGTGATCCTGGGTGAGTTACTCTCTCTGGGCTCAGTTTCCTCATTTATAAAATCAGTATAATTATGGTCCCTACCTCACAAGATTGTGATACAGACTAAATGAATTAATACACATAAAATGCTTAGAATAATGCCCAGCTCATAGTCAGCTCTCAAATGTCAAGTATGATAATTATTACTACATCTTTCAGCTTATCTGGCCAATCAGGGCAGGGGTCTGCAGGGTACAGTAATACCAATATTTATTTCTATACATGTGTCTGTCTTTGATAATACCACCAACAGGGGCAGTATACAACCAACCAAGGTAAAGATCCTCTTTCCTTGGAGATAGTTCCTTTGTGTGTATGTTTTAATCCGTGGAGGAGAAATAGAGGCATTTTTTTAAAAAAAAAGATCTGGATAAGGCTGGGAAAGCATCTGAGGCTGTGACCATCTCTTTACCCCCTCAGTTTGTCACCCCTGGGCCCCAGTATGTTACCCAACCACATTAGGCCCCCAAAGCTTTAATTTGTTTTATATATCAAACACCTCACCACAGCTCAGTAGTGATTCTCAAGCTGCGCTGGAGAGGGGAAATCCCCAGATCTTTTATGCAATGGATCTCACAGTTCTGACGCCCTAAGAGGCCTGTGCTTGGAAGCTTTGATGGAGGATGACTTGTAACCTCCATGGTATGATTCACAACCCAGGGGGACAGTTGGAAACAGGAGGCTCCTGCTGGGGTGGAGAAGTACTCTCCTTGGCTTTTTTGGTCATTACTGCAGAAGTACATGATGTCCTGAAGTTCAGCTGGGCTGTCCTGTATGTGCTCGGAGGACTGCTGAGAAGCCTGCACAGCTCAAAGAGCACATCACGCCCAACCAAAGGCACCCATCTCTTCCATCCCCCACTTCCTCATTTTACAGATGGAGAAGTTGAGGTCCAAACAGGAGAAATGCCTCATCAAGGTAACTTAGGGTGCCTGCCTTACTCCAAACTCCCACCTCCACCCCCACCCCCATTCAGGCATTCACAATCCTTGCTGGCTGTTCACCACTACAGTGGCACCACAGATCACAGCACACGGACAAGAATCTGTGATGCCTGAATGACTGCTGAGCAGCTTTCACCACTGCAGCCTAGAGCTTGGGGGACTCTATATACAGACACATGGGGAGCCTTATGAACCCCCAGGTGTGCTAGACCGGAAGAAACAAGTGGAGCTGCAGGAACCTGAGCCTGGCCACTCCATCAAAATACCCACCTCTGAGAGGGGTTCAGGTTTTTAGGCTTTACATCCCTCATTCTTTCACTCAGCAAACAATACTGAGTGTCATCCACTTGTCAGGCCCTGTGCCAAGTGCTGAGGATGCCTCAGACATGAGCACAGACAGTCCCTACCTACCCTCAAGGAATTCGTGGAGGGGGGCCGGGGTGCAAAGAGCCAGCAAGTAAAACAACCAAGTCCTGTGCAAAGAGGCAGAGGGAGGAGGGAGCTTGGAAGGAAGGCTTCTCTCCAAGATAACTTTTGCACACCTCCTTTCTCATTTGTTTTCTGTCATTTTCTCCATTTCACAGGTGGAGAAACAAGACTGGGAGAGAGGACAGTGAAACTACGAGCGCCAGACGAGGGGTGGGCACCCCCGAACTTCAAACTACCCCCGAACTTCAAACTCCTGGCGCCTTCTTTGCGGGGCTTTGCGAAAAGCAGGACAGATAACCGAAGAGAAGCTGGTCTCCTGAGGCCTGGGACTCACCCGCCGAAGCTCTTGCCTCCTGGGAGGCCCAAGATCGTGTGCAGAAGGTGACTAGAATTTTAGGGGCCGAGCTAAGGAGAAAAGGGAAACGCAACAGTGACGGAGGTGGGGGAGATGAAGGAGCAGGCAGGATGACAGAGGAGAGTTGGGAGGGCGCTGACGCAGGGGGCAGCGGGAGAACCCGAGCCGCACACGACCCCCAACGGCCCCACTCACCCCGGATCCGCAGAGCCACTTTTCAAACCCGCGGCCGCAGCCGGGGGGCGCCGGGTCCGCGGGAAGTCCTAGGGCAGTGCGAGCTCGAGCGCTCCTCCCGTTCTCAGGGGCGGCACGGGCTCCGGCAGCGGGAAGCCGCCCCCGCCGAGAATCGCCGCCCCGAGGGGGCCTCCCCGAGCCCGTGGCAGGCGGGAGCGCGCACGGACCGCCGGGCCGCGCGGCTGGGCAGCGGGCGAGCTCCGCTCCGGGGCTCTGGAACGCGCGGCTCCAGGGGACCGCCCCGGAAAGCCCGGGCCCCCGGCCGCAGCAGCCCAGCCGGCTCCTCCCCCGGCCCCCCCGCAGCCGCGAGGACTCCGCGAGGGTGAGAAGGAACCGCGGCGCCTTAGGTTCCCGTTCGCATCCTGTCACGCACGCACCGGCTGTGTGGCTCTGAGCAATCCCTTCGCCAGGCAGGCGTCTGAGCTTTCTGCTCTGTAAACAGAGAAGGTTGACCTAAAACGTGTCCTCCAAAATCTTGACCAGTTGTAGTCTACACATGGGAAAGTCTTGCCAATGGGTTTGGATGGAGGAGCCGGGACTCAGAGTTCCTGCTTTGCAATGCCCTGTGCAGAGGATCCTTAACTGTCACTCTCTATAAAGGAAGGATAACACCTCCCTCCTAGCTCTGCTGTGAGGATTGACTGAGAGGACCAGCGTGAAGCTGGTTGGCTGTCTGTAGCATCCTGTTTATTTTGTGAATGAAAGGGCCCGATCCAGAGCTCTTGGCATCTCTGAGCCCCCCACCCCACCCCGTGACCTACCAGTTCCCCACTCTGATCCAGGACAATGCCAACTCTGCAAGCTCCTGCCTGCCACTTCATCCACCCAGCGACAGGTGGCACCCACACTACTTTTTAGATTTATCTTATTTCATTTTTATTAAGGTATCATTGATACACATTCTAATGAAGGTTTCATATGAAAAACAATGTGGTTACTACATTCACCCATATTATTGAGTTCCCCCCATGCCGCATTGCAGTCACTGTCTGTTAATGTAGTAAGATGCCACAGAGTCACTACTTGTCTTCTCTGTGCTCCACTGTCTTCCCCGTGATCCCCCCCACACCATGTGTGCCAATCATAATACCCCTCAATCCCCTTCTCCCTCCCTCTCCACCCACCCTCCCCAGTCCCTTTCCCTTTGGTAACTGTTAGTCCATTCTTGGGTTTTGTGAGTCTCCTGCTGTTTTGTTCCTTCAGTTTTGCTTCGTTGTTATACTCCAGAAATGAGGGAAATCATTTGGTATTTGTCTTTCTCTGCCTGACTTATTTCACTGAGCATAATGCCCTCTAGCTCCATCCATGTTGTTGCAAATGGTAGGATTTGTTTTCTTCTTATGGCTGAATACTATTCCATTGTGTATATGTACATCTTCTTTATCCATTCATCTACTGATGGACACGTAGGTTGCTTCCATATCTTGGCTATTGTAAATAATGCTGCAATAAACATAGGGGCACCCACACTTTTAAATTCAGTGGTCAAGAGTTCTCCAGTCTTACTCTTCTGAAAACCAGGAGCTCAGGCCTTGGCCATCTGTGCCCTGGTGAGGAGTCTGGGAGTCCAGGTGCGCGTTGGTTTCTTCCTGTGCCCCATAGACTAGTAAGAACCATGCTGCCTTATCCAGGTCTAAATTTGATATAGTGTCGACCCTGAATTTACCCCTGCTGTTTTCTCTGAGTCAGGGAGCCGGTCAGCAGAAATGACATATAAATCAGATGCTGGTATTGTTAGAGAGAAAACAATGAGGATGAAGGGACTGACATGAAAAGTGATTTGATAAAAATTCTAGGGATTATCACCCAAACATAATGTTTTAATCGAAAGAGAAGTGGGGGATTCTAAAAGCAAGTACCATGCAAATCTCAATAGTTTGATACAAAACTCCCACTGGGAAAAAAAAGTTAAAAGAGGACAACCCCAATTTAATGCAAAATGTTTACTGGTTAGTGGAAGGGGACGGAATTCCCTCTGGGTGGGCCACTGGGAACCCCATGTACCCTGTGTGACCGATCACTGGCCTCCCTCTGAGAGAATGTGAGGCCCAGCACTGGAGACAGCACCAGCAAGCCTTGCTCTTCCTTTTCCATTTAGCAGAGGGAATAAGGATTTGGGTCTTGACACCCGAAAAGCAAGCCAAAAGAAGAAATATGAATACCCCATGAGAAACATAACACATTAGGTCTGATGTCTCAGCTGGGCAATTCACCAAGAGGGCTTTGGAAGGGAAGAATAATGCATGTTGTGTTGGGATAGTAGGAGGGGGGAAAATAGCCAATTTTAGCAGCAAGCTTTTGTTACAGCAAAAATCAGGGAACAACTCAGATTTCATATCCTTGGTCCTCAATTACAAGTACTCCAAAGGGAAAACCATCAGGTTCTCAAAGAAATAAGTAATACTTAGTGGGAGATCCCTCTGATAGTGGGAGGAATTTGGATAAAAGAATTGTAAACTGGTGACATTGGCTCCTAGCAAAACGCTATCTAAAGGGGCCTCACTAGGATTCAATCTGTCTCAGAAACCCTCTGTGAATCACATCTATGAAAGAATTTTCTTCTTTCATTTATTTTTCACTTGCACATGTTTAGCTGTGGAAAATAATGTGGTCTATTGGATTGGAAATCAGAAAAACAGAATTCTGAGTCTGTCACTCAGTAGTAAGGGATAATTAATGTTCCAGTTTCCTCCCTTGTAAAATAGTAAAATGAGACCTATTTCTCTTGTCTGACACAATTACTATGAGTAAAGGTTTCATTCACGTATTTTTTTTTATTCAAAACTATTCATTGAAAGTCTTCTATATATGTTTTGGGCACCAAGGAGAACAAATTATTTCTGTATTGTGTTTACATCTAGTGGGAAAATGTTCACAATAAACAAGTAAATAAATATGAAATTTATGAAATGAAGAATATATTATAAGAAAATGTGGTAGAGTGATGAAGGGTATTTTATCATGGCAATTGTAATTAAACTGAATTTCCTAAACTGTTTATACCATCACTGATTATGCTGCTCTGTAATATATCAGCTTAATCAGAATTTCTGTGGTCTTTAGCAAGACTAAAAATTTTGACTGATATTAAATCATATAACTTGGTGAATAATCTTTGCCTGGATAATTTCTAAAGAAGATAGAATACAAAAATATTGGTCACCAAGCATGGAATGTATACATACACACACACACACACACACACACACACAACCTTTGCCTCTTATTTTTATGTTTTAGAGTATATAAACCTTTGGGGTATATTAATGTATATGTTCAATTTTGCCACTTTAAGAAATTAAAAAGAATATGTATGGCCACAGAAGGTTTTATAGTGTTTGCAGGTAGGCTAAGTGTTTATATATTTCATGGCCACTTGGCTACAGTTCATATGGTAAGGTAGTAGATCTTAATGTTCTCACCACAGAAAAGAAATGGTAACTATGTGGCAGGATGGAGATGGGAGCTAATATTATGGTGGTGTATTTTTGCAGTTTATAAATGTATCAAATCAACACATTGTACACTTTAAACTTACACAATATTAAGTGTCGATTTTACCTCAATAGAACTGGAAAAAAGAGAAGTGGGTAGGATCCCATTTTATCTGGCATAATAAAACTGGAAATATCTTTTTGAGATACACAACAAAATAAGACAGGGACAAACGTATGTACCTATCATTTTTCTAGTTTATAACACTGTGAATTCTCTTCAAATAAATACATAAACCTTTAAAAAATTTTAATTTATATAGGACACTGTGACTATATTAAACACTAAAGTAGCAAAGAAATATGAATGAGTATTAAAGATTATGAGTGTAGTTTTGTTTATCAAGGGGAAAAGGAAAACAATTTTGTTTTGAAGTAAAATAAATGACTGTGCCAGAATGTGAAAGATGAGTAAAAGACAAAATTTGAATGGGTAAGTTGTAGAAGTTTGAGGAAAAGAAAAGTGTTTTCCTTGATTTATAATACCTGTAAATAATGAGTCTAGAAAGAAGCAATGATCTAAAAGGCATCTATAGAACCTGCTATCCAATGTCAGAAGAATACACATTCTTCTCACTTGCACATAGAATATTAGACCATATTTCAGGCTATAAAATAAATCTCAGCAATTTGTTTTTTTAATGGTGGCACTGGGGTTTATTAGGCTGTGCCTTGGTACAGGTGCGGGGACTTGCCCATGGTGCTCGTGATGTATAAAACCTGGGTATCTGCCAGTCCTTCTTCAGCAATGACACCAGGAAATTGACAGCTAAGTGGATATTGTATACAAACTCATCATCTGACTCATCACGACCAACAGCCACTGCCAGACAGAACACCTTCTACATCTGGATCCTGATGGTGGACTTCACTTCATCGACTTTGGCCACCATGTTCACATTGTGGGTCAGCAAGGAAGGGAACTTGCCAGCCTGATTCAGGCCTGGGCCCAAGATTCGTGAGACCTCCTTGATCAGAGACTCTGAAGCCAAAAAGGTATCATACTTCCTGGCCAGCTTCTTCACCAGTTTCATATTCTTGCTGAGTTTCTTCAGTGCCTCAGTGTCCATGTGGGGCATATCCACAGCCTTGATCTCCTCACCATGCTGCTGGTCCCTGAAAACACATACGGACAACTTGGGGTGGGGAATGGACTTAAGACTGATGGTGCCCGAGAACTGTTTGTCCTTCTGAGGATCATAGTTCTTCAAGCTGATCTGCAGCTCCACCATCTCCAAAAACTTACGGTGTTTAAGCTGGGTCCCCTGCAGGACTTCCTGCACTGCCTCCTAAAGGGTTTGGCAGGAGACTTTGCTGCTCATGGTGCCTCATACTGCAATAACCTGAAAAGATGTCAACAAATTTAAATAGACTGAAATCTTATGTTATCCAATCACCATGGTATGAAATTAAAAATTAGTAACAGAAAGAAATTTGGGATGTTAACAGTGGAAAGATGTGGAAAGTAAACAACATATTACCAAACAAGCAGTGTATCAAAAGAGAGGTTACAAAAGAAGTTAGAAAATGCTCTAAGATGTATGAAAGGGAAAAAGCAACATACGAAAGTCTATGGAATGCAACTAATGCAGTACATAGAGGAAAATTTATAATAATAAATGCGTATATTA